CTAACTTATTTCAAACCATAAAGGCATTAAAAAGCATATGAAAAACTCAAATAAGTCCGCACAACAAAATTACAAACATACGAAATTGAAAATTAAAAACACAGACAGACACACATACACACACACACTCACACACACAAGCATACAACAGCGCACAGCGAATATTTGCAATGAGATGAAAATTAATGTTACATGAATAAAATATTTAAATGTAAGAAGAGTAAAAAAAAACTACCTTTAGTGCGCTGCAAAACACTCATCATCTTGGCATGCTCAACATTTTCCAGCATCATTTCATTATTTACCCACACCTATAATCATTGCTCTCGATATCTTAACTATTTATGGATTAAGAAATCGGAACACGCACACTCACAGCCAATTGAAACAGTGACTAAATATGTGAGACTATATTGGCTCTGTTTGCCCCTCTGCTCTGCATCTGCTCAATAAATTTGTAAACGAATCGCTCAATCGATGAAAATATAAAAATAAAAAAAATCGCGCTATAATATCATATTTGTTATATACATACATTTGTATATAGTTAGCCGCGCCTCTTTAACATTTTTTGTATACTTTTGTATGAAAGAATGAGATCAGTAACGAATTTAATTTGCATATCTTGTACCCAGCAAGAGAAAATGATATTTGTCTGTCTGTCTGAACGCTACTTTGTCGGCACTAAACATGCCAGCGAATGCAAACTTTGTCGCCACATGCCTCCAATACTCATACACATCAAGTTTATTGCAAATATTCTATAACTTAACATATTGAAAACTTGAACTAAAAATTAAGCGCATTTTTTGTTGAGAACGTTAAGAAAATCGATCGATTTTATAATAAAGCTGCCATGGGAACGACAGGTAGAAAAATATTTTAATAAACCAATTACAAAGACCTGATACTTTGAGGAACTATTTTAGAAGCTCTCAACGGATGGTACTCTTTTCATTCAGTATAAAAATCTTAAGGATATAGGCCGCAATAGGGTACATGGTATACCATAGTCGTCTTCAATCGACTATAGCATTCATAAGCTGTTTTGACACATAACTTTAACTTTCGTTAAACCAAAAGATAATCAAATGCCAAAACGAAACATTAACACAAGTCTGGGCCAAAGACCAAAGACTGAGCACATGAGAGTGTGGTGATCATTGCTTCAGAAACGGTAGAGAGATTGACAGAACAAAATGGATTCTTTGAAGTGGCAGACATAAAATATGCAAATTCTCAATCATATGAGTACTCGCTCAATATAAAATGGTTTCTTCAAACTCACACACACTCTCACTCAAACAAATATCAAATTCGCGATTAAAAATTACAGACAAAGAGCAGATGTAGATATTTGAAACTGAAGTTTTTTACTCTTCAACTGCGGTTGATCTTTAAAGAGATATATTAATGGAGATTGTTGTCAAACAAATTTAGTTCGATCTTAGAATCTTCAATATAGTAATTAAAGAAAGATTGATGTTAATATACTATGTCACTGTATATTGTTTGCCAACAATTGTTAATTATAATAATTCTCTCAAAATCGGCAAATAACTTTAAATTAAGTTCTCTGCCATTTCAGTCTACAGTTCTAAGACCTTCTAGAAACGCAGAACTTGATATAATATCTGCGCAATTTCAATTCACAGCTCTGGAATTTAAATAGAGGTTGATCCTTAAAAAATCGGATGTTAAAGGGCGATCTGGAAACAGTTTTACAGTCTTCTAGCAAGGCTGATCTTTTAAATGATTCTTCTCAATAAGATTACATTTAATTAAACTTTTTTAAAGCTGATAATAATGCCGCACTAGACTCCAAATATTTTTGTATTTGAAGCCGTATTTTCCAAACAGACCCGCAAACGAAGCCAAATCGACTCATTAGTCCAGTCATAGATTTGGCACACACTCACTCACACGCTTACGCACTCACAACTACATGCATACAAATGTACACGGAAAATGGTATGTTTGTCAACGCCTAGCAAAGGTATATGAGTAAGAAGAAGAAAAACAAAACATATTAACATATGTATATGCAAACCTAAACCTAAATAAAAACAAAAGAAAAACCAAAATCTTTTGAAAACACTTTTAAAGAACTGTTGACTGTTGTGACTTTAATAAAAAAACAAAAAAAATTAAAGATAAAGATAAAAAGTAAAATTAAATTAAATAAAGATATAAACAAGGAAACAAAAAATGAATGAACTATAAATGAAATGTAGCACCAGAAGATGATGATGAAACAAGATGAGGGAGAAGGAAATGCATTAATATTTAAGCGCCAATCGGATATAAAATGAATCAATAATATGGTCTAAAATAATTTTAGTAACAACATGAAAAAAAAAACAAACGAGCATAAAAAGCAAACAAAAAACAAATAAAAAGTATTGCAAAACAGAAAAAAAACCAACAACAAAGAATTTAGTATATGTTTGAAATACACAACACACGATTGACTCGATTTCTGGTAATGATAATAAAAACCAAACATGCGAAAATACAAAGTAATGCACATATTTAACTTTTATAATGCAAATGCTTTAATATTTGCCCCCAAACTCCACAACTAACTCTAGTTTTTGTTTTAAGCCAATCAACAACAACAACAACAAGTTAATGCAGCGTGCTTGCACAAACTTTCAGCTGTCCATGCCAATCGCAACCCTTTTCCAAGAATCCACAGATCCAGACCCAAACGCCCAGCATTCACCAATCAATCAATTACTCGTACTCGTACTCGTACTTATTCGTACTCGATACTCGATACTTAGTCAGCTCGTCAGTCATTAACAACCGCACGCACACTGCATCTGCCAAGTGCGCCAAATCATTTGAAACACCAACTGCACCAACTGCTGATATATTATAATAATACTTGATACTACCTTGTATGTTATATCCACTACCACTACTCTAATGCGTTTTTAATATTCTATAAGCAGACGGCTCTCCGATCCGACCTCAGACACAGGTGCTACGAAAACAAACAAAAAATCCAAGCAACAAAACAAAACAAAAAAAAAAAAAACGAAAGAAAGCATCGTTTTGTGTGTCCCAGTTCCCAAGAATTGTTACCTCTAATTTTGTCTTTTGTTTTACTTACAGATATTATCGCTAGCTAAATCCAATAATACTCTCGTATATGAGCAAAATGTGAAATGCTAAATCAACTGAGATACAGACACAGACACAGAGAGCCAGCCAAAGGTCTATACGATATATAGTTAGGTTATGACTAACAGAACGATGGCCGCGCTCATAATCGAATAAAAGAATATAAAATAATAATAACAATAATATTTACGATAATAACACTAATAATAAAACCAATAGCTTCATAATGGCGGATTTGGAAAGGAATTGGCGTCGCTATCACTAAAGAAGTTACGTACAGCTGTGCTTCCGCTTTCGCAAAATGGAAACAGAAGCACGGCTGTTAGCACATTTTGAACATTTTAATTAGCCGATTATTATCTGACGCCCTTTCTAAGCCAACAGCGATGATATGCATTTACCCATCAGAAGTGAAAAGTTGGCTCAAACATTTTTCCATTCATATGGCGAAAGAAATGAGACAATTACCTTCCCCCCCAACAATTGGTTATGAATTGCGATAAGAGTCGAATAAGCTGAAAACCGAAATCAAAATCAAATTATTGTAGGAATGTTGCCTATTTGGCACTTCCTGCCCCGCTGGTACTTTCATATTTTAAGTACAGAGGGCCCATAGAGTATGTGTCAAGAGATTGTACATAAGAATCTTATGGTATTACACTGTGAGACGTCAATTCTGTATATTTATAAGTACATATGTGTATGATAATATAATTCAATGGATTCATATATTATTTGGAAACACGTTTCTTTTTTTTCAACAAAAAAAAAAAAAACATTTTTACAATTATTATTATTATTATTATTATTTTTCAACACACACAACAAGTATGTATATTTAATGTCTAAAGTATTTACAATTCTTTAATTTCTACACAAAACCTATGTATGTACATACAAATAAGTGTATAGATGTCAAACGGAACATTTAATAAAAATTTGCATATTTATAGTCCCAGATGAATGGGCGACAATGGATAAAACAAACAAAGCACACAAGTACAGTAATACTGCCAGGTCGAGTAACCTTTAAGATTCAGTCAGAATGCGTAATCAAAACCGAAAAAGCAACGCTATAAGTTCTTCGTTTTTGGGAAGCCCTGCGACATAATATTTTAATATCATAACTTTCGTATAAGTTGGCCAACAAACAAATTCAGACACTATAGGATCAAAGAATCAAAGAATCGTCTCGAATACGTCTCGAAAGAGTCATTTGATTCAAACAGATAAATATACCATAGTGTGAACGAAAAAAATTGATATTTATTTCATACAATATTATGAACTCTCTGGATGAATAATCCATACTTCAAAAGTTCTTTGAGAATTTGGAATTAAAGAAGAAATAAACCCCGAAATTCAGTTTCACAAAAAGCAGATTAGATACTTAGATATAAAGATTTATTCATTTAAAGAATTATCTTACACTTAACAAGTCAAACAGCTGTTCGCTTGTGGATACCTATATATATTGTTTTTCTGGTCAAAATAATTCTCTTATGGTTTAAAAATTTGCATAGGATTTAAGTTACAATCTAGAAAAGTTGCAATTCGTTACATGATACTAAGCTAATTATCTTAAATTTATCTTAAGGCAATATTGGCAGAGAAATCTAAAAGGGTGTTGAAAACGTTTCAAACATTTTACCATTAACAGGAAAAATATGATCAATCATTTTTTGTAATTTCTCAAAACGCATAGAGCATTTTTGAACACCTTGAACAGCTAGAAATTATATTTTAGTTTCACGCATTTCTGAATTCTGCTTGAGAAGTTTCTCAACACTTTTATTAGCGTTGATTTGCCACCAAAACTAATCTAATTATGCATATAATTTGTCTGTGAATGGGGTAAGTACTATTTGTAAGCTATGTTGGCTGGCGTTCTGGGTTGCCTCTCAAGATAATGAATTGGTTGAAACAAATTATTTATGAAATTATAATTGCTACCGGTGGGATAAAACAATAACGCTTACAATTCAGTTGGCGGCAATAGCAAGTCACTTGGGACAGTCACCTTTGGCAGTCAGTTCAATGGATTATTTATTCGCTCGTTTCGCAAATATTTATAGCACATTCATAAAGATTGAGAAGGCGCGTGCCCGCACGAACACGAGCGCATGAAGTGCGCCAACTTCCGATGATATATAGAAGACATATTCGTATAAAATACGTTGCTCGCGCAAGCGCATTTCATTAGCAGCCGACAAACATGAACGGCAACTGGTTCTCTCTTCTGTGGACACTTGTTCTGGCAGCATTCCTGGCCCCGTCGTCGTACGGCCAAGTGGTGTATCCGGGGATTAGGGTGCGCCAGATACCGGTGCTTAGCAACGGCCAGATTCAAACGGTACAGTTTCTAGACACCGCAACGCCCGTCACCCCACAAATGGTGCAACAACAGCTGCGGCAGGCACGTCAACAATACCAGCAGCAGCTTCAACAACTTCAACGGACACCGATGGAGAAAATTAGAAAGGCCGACGTATTCTAAACAACAACAAAAAGAAGATATCAAACCCACCCAACAATCTTACATGTAATAATTGGCTTAAGAAATTATTCAACTCACTTAATAAATCGTAAAATCAATGTTAAGCATTTCGTTTTTCTTATTATTCCTTTTTGAAGTCGTAAGTATTTCAACTGTTTGCTTGAAAAAAAATAATAATTAGAGGGGCTCATTGCGAAATCATTAATTATCTCCACAGCTGGTTCATAAGAAATAGGCATTAAAGAGTTGCATGGCTAAATCAGTTTGAAGTCAAGTCTGCACATTTAAAAATAAAGTGCACGCTCGAAAACTGATTAGGAGAATGATTACTATAGTATTTTGTGTGCCTTTACGAGCAATCTGCAGTGCAATTATTTGCATTCATAAATCATAACATATTTATTAACATTTTTAAAATACAATTGTCGACTCATAACATATAAGTATTCGGGGGTGCATGGCTAGATTCGATTGAGAACATAACTTAATTTAAAAGTAAGTATATCCACTGCTAGCTGCGAAGAAATAAGTATTAGAGATCTTTAAAACCGAAATTCAATTCATTCAATTTAACAATAGACCGCACTAACTTCATATTAGTTTTTGATAAGCATCTCTTCATATTTTTTCTTAGTGTCCGGTACTCAAAAAAAAGAAATATTTGAGATGCATGACTAGATTTATTTGTTGTCACAGCTCATGTAAAATGGCGAATGCGAGCGAAAATGTTTTGTAACACATAATTATTATAATTTCCTGATTTGAATTTAATACGACATGGAAGACTATTGGGGAAAGTACGAGCAGCAGAAGCAGCAGCCTTACTGGTCTCATTTGCCTTGTTTGGATTGTAATTCAAAATGGTTATTAGATCCGGATCCAAAAGTAGCGAAGTTATCGACGAAAATGTTTTCGTGTCATAAATTTTTTATAGCCTGTACCCAAAGGGTGAAAGGCTATACTAGTTTTGTGCGCATGTATATAACACACAGAAGGAGGCGTGGCAGACCCCACAAAGTATATATATTCTTGATCAGGATGAGAAGACGAGTCGATATAGCCATGTCCGTCTGTCCGTCTGTCCGTCTGACCGTCTGTCTGTATGAGCGCAAGGATCTCAGTAAGTACAAGAGCTAGGATAACCAAAATTGGTATCAAGGTTCCTATAAGCCCTAGGCAGAACGAGTTTGTTTATTTTTTCTGATACACCCCCCCACTCCCCCGCAATTCGTATTTTTTCTTATAACTTCCTCGGAATTTTAAAATCAATTTTGGTAGGTACATCCAGTTAGTACTAATGTGTCCGTGTGCCAAATTTCATCATGATAGGTCAATTCTGAAGAAAGTTATAGCCATAAGTAAAATCGCTGCTCATGCGCTGCCTGCAGCTCTGTCGGCAGCGCTGCCCGCAGCTGTTGTTGTTGTTGCTGCTTTTGTTCAACTTTGTGCTGCATACATACACGCATAGGTACGTGATGTAAATGTATGCTGTTTAAACTGAACATAAACATGTATTCTAATTTAATTTAATTAATTATTTTAATTAAATAATTCATTCATTTTTTTTAATAATTTAATTTTTAAATCATTTTTTTTTTTAATTTTTCCTTTTTGTGGAGAGTACAGGCCATTTTACTGTCGGGCTTGCTCGACTGTAGCGTTCTTTCTTGTTTATTTTTATTTTTATAAGCTCTAGTAAATATATACATATAGGTTCTTACTCTAATAGTTCCTAATGGGCCCTCTGAAATTTTAGTTAAAGTGATCTATAAAATAATACTAACTTATAAAGTTGTTGTTCTAAAGAACTTTCTAATGATGTCATCAGCTGTGATCATTTTTCGCAGCGGGGTCATCAAATATATGAGTATGTAGACATGACGTAAATGATGTCTAATTTTGAGCAAACAAAGCAAATTACATATGCATATGAGAGTACTTTTCCTGACACACACACACACACACACACATACTAAGGCAAACACACCGATACGCACACACAGACACACACACACGCACACAACGTCACACGCTGTGCGCATGCCGAATACAATCCTTAAGTTGCCTTTAGATGGCACTGCTTTTGGTTTTAGGCGCCAAGCCTGGCAGTTTGGTCACGGCATTGGCCACAGTAACTTTCATAAGAGCTCTTGCAGCAACCACCGATATTTTGGTTGAAAGAAACTGTAAGCTCGAGTATTTGAGCTTGACAATTCGAGAGTGTGTTAGTGAAGTTTTCGAAATAGTTTACGAAAATGCTCAGGCGGGAGCGATGGCTCTGGACTGTAATGTGGTATGTGTTCTTTAACTTGTTTTGTTTTTTTTTTTTTTTTCATTTTGAAAGATTAGAAAAGGTAAGAATCGATACTTTTTTTAAAAAAATTCGTAAATTCAGTTAAGGGGACTATGAAGGAAAGCAAAAAATATGCAAAAATGTGAAAGCGTACTGAAAATATTCAGCACAAGTTGTTTGCCGCCAGTGTAGTTCATTTACATTATGTTGCCTGATTTGCCAAACAAACACAAACACAACACTCTAAAGCACACACACACGCACACACAGAGAGAGACACATAAGTTGGATGCCTGCAGCACACAATGCACCGCCAAACTGAAAGCCTGCCTTTGTGTCACAAGCAAAGGGCATGCTGCACACACACACAATATATATAGACATGGATGTTGGTGGCAAAGCATAGCATTATTTTGCGAATAAAGCAATTTTTGCACACCCACAGCCCACAGCCCACAGCGCACAACCCACAATCTATACACACCATGCCACACCACACTGCACCGCACCGCACCAAGAGTCATGCCCATTTACGCCCAATTGGGCATAGCTGGGTTAAGTGCAGGCTGCAGGCTGCAGCTGTCTGGCATTTCCATCAACCAGTCAACTAGTCCATCAGTTCACCAGTCCACCAGTCAGTCAGCTATTTGATAGATTGCTTTAAGTAGTGCCCATAAGTAGGCAGTAGGCCTGACGCGGGTCACCAACATCCAGGCTACCTACCACCTGTCTTGTCAATCGAATTTAAAAATTTAACGATATCTATGGATATGACAAATGACGCATTAAAGTCACATCCCACCTCTACCCCTAGCCACCTAGTCTTATACCCTAACAGCAAATTCAATCCTCACCCAAATGGGGGCGATTGTGCATCTCTCTGCATAGATATGTTGACTGTAGCCTTCGCACTACTGCCTTGGTTTGGGCCAAAAGACATTTTGTAATTTAGCAGTTCAAAAGGGGAAACAAGACAAACGCCCGCGGCTAGCAAACAACATACTTAGGCGCAACAACACACACACACACACACACACACACCCAGAGAGGCGCAGCAACAACATCACGTCTCTAACTATGAGCTCGAGTATGTATTTATGCTCCAATTATAATGCAAATGCAGCAGTGTAGGTCACTTTAATAACAAAAAATCAACAGCAACCAAAAAATGACACCTTCTAGCAAATCTCTATGAAGTGGAAAGAAACAACACGCTCTTCAAACACTTAACATCCTTAATAACCTATTGATTATGTTTTCCAAATATAATAATTTAAAGAAGAGTTTCGTTTTCCCTCTAAAGATCAATGTTTTTTATATTTAAAAAATTATGTACAATTTCTCTTAAGCTTAGCAGATTAAACAATTTGCAATATTTTGAAAAAACTTTTCTTACAATTTTGAAATAGCGGCAGAACTAATTTTTCAAATAACACCAAAGATGACAATTTAATCTGCAAATTCTGAGGCTTTTTATATTTAATATAATATTTAAAAAAAAATTATTTTAAATATTGATTGAACAGTTTATCATTAAATAGCTTACAATATTGTGTAAAAATGCTCTTCGAATTTTACAAAGTTATCATTTGAGGAGATGAGGAGATAAAAAATGTCTTCAACTCAAAGTCTGATTATTAAAATTAAAATCGATTAGGCTTTTCTTTTTAAACCTTAAGCATTCGTAGAGACATTATTATTATAAGCTAAAGGAATATCTACAGACAAGATCTATCAGCCGGGCTTAGAACACAAATTTAAAAATTTGCGAAAATTAATTTTGTGTATTCATAATAATTACATTACGACTCAATACAACGTTTTGCACTCCCAAGAATTATTTCGAGCGAGTGATTTAGACCGTCGGCCGGCATCTCATTCAAGATGATGGTACAAGTTTTTTCGAAATTCCTATACTCGTAGCACATTCCTTTCATAGGCAAATAAAATTTTGCCAGGCAAAAAATATTGAGCTGAGTTTCCCTAAAATCACTTTTTATAAACATAATTACATTCTAAAAATTAAATTACATTAAAAACCTACTATACACATTATTTTGATTAATAATTGCAGCTCGAAATTTTGGAACTTTCTCCATTGATTAATAGAGAGTTACAGTTCATACTTTGATTTTATATTTACTTCTACATTAGATTTCTAGTCACATTTTCTATTTGATAAATCCTTTTTATATTCAAAAGATCTCAACATTAAGCTATCATCTGAATAACAAGCAGTCTGTCATTGCGCTTGAATTGAAGAATTATATAGGTAATCAGCCGATAATTCAAAACCTATCTTAAAAACAAATGAATTAAGCAGACTATTTGACATGTAGCAATTGAAAAGCTTTATTCGTTTTCAATCCGAATATGCCGTATCACTTAAAGTTAGGATGAATATAAATATTCATTTATTATTAAATAAAATGATAATTGTATAAGAAATTGATTGATGTCACATCAGCTTTAATTATGGGCGCTTGGGAGCTCTTTTACCTCATAGTACAAACATTACATTGAATGAAAAATAAATGAGGAAAGAAAGGATGCGTAGTCGAGAAGTAGACAGTAATAGAAGGCGTAGCTTTTTTTCAGATTCTGTCAACCAACCAACAGTACAGACACTACTTTAAATGTAATAAAGATGAGGATACTATAGGTATATAGTATTTCTCGATTTCTGGCAACCAGAAAACATCTTTGCTAGTCTGCCAAACAGTAGATGGATTATAATTAGCTCTTGTGAGGCCGACTTGGCTTGTGGCGCAAGTTTCCGCAGTTTTCAATGAACGAGCGTGGAAAATCTGAGACTTGCACTGCAGCAACAACAGCAAGAAAGAAAAGGGAAAAATGAAAACGACAGCGACAGCGACAAGGCGCTTTGGCAAAACGTAAGAATGGCCCGTCAAGCATCCGGCCAACGAACGCAGCAACCCTTCAGTTCTTGTTTTCTTTCTTTCTTTTTTGCTTTTTTTTTGTTTTTGAATTCACGCAGCCATCCATCCATCATCATGCCTAATACGAGGCAGAGGCAGAGACTAAGACGAGCGGTGGACGAGGTGTAAATAAACAACAACAACAACAGCTAAACAAAAACAAATATATGAGAAGAACGTGTTAATACTCTCTTCTTTCTCTCTGTAGCAAACGGTTTAAGGAAAAGGGTGTGTGGAGATGTCACTATTAACCTACACATTACTTTCACCATATTTCGCTTTCCCTAGAAACAAAATCAGAAATAAGCTTGTAGAAACTTTTCAATTCAGTTTGCTACTACGATCAACTACTATTTTCTATCTTTATTTTGTGTTCTTTCTACTGTTTCCATTATTTTTTCTATATTCTTCTCCTTATTTAAAAATCCTATTATTATCAATTCTAGTTTGAAACATTAGACAAAAATAAGTAGTTTTTCAAATTAAATAAGCAAATATATCAATAATAATAATAATTAAATGCTGAACTTCAACTTGTACAATATTTGTAGAGGATAGTAGAGTATTCGTAGACATCGGTGCGCCAAGGTTGGGTTTCCCCCTCGCGTGTACATATAATTTTCCACTTCAAGTATTTAATTGCTTACACCGCTATATAAGTGCGAAACAAGAGCCCAGCCACTGGCAGGCCATTTCGCAGCAAACGGCAACAAACAAAAACAACAAAAAAGCTTAAAAAATAGAAATGAAAATTGTTTAAAATGCGCAGCAGCAGTTTTTGTTAATGCACTTCATTGTGAATATAATAGTGCGCCAAGTGGGACGAGTGGGAAGAGGGACGAAAGTCTAGGGGTACATAATGCGTTTTATTGTCTTGTCCTATTAACGACATGGGGGGCACGTCGAGAAATAGACGTCCTTCCCACAACACTGCCACAAAGCAATCTATTATGTGCTACAAATTCCCTATTCCATGTTAATAGGACAAGGTTCATAAAAATTGTGTTATATGTGTATGAAAACTATTCACAATTTTGTACTCCTTCTCAGTTAAAAGAAGAATTTGGAAGAATCACATTACACCCAAGATCCCATGACCGATTCGGAGTCCAATATACACAAAATAGTTAAGAAAGACATCTTAGCGGTTCGAATTGCTTTAATATAGTTAGATGTCTTGCGAAATACTATAGTGAACATTTTTAAATTTCTAAAAAGAATCAATACTTTAGAGTGGTTTTAAGCCCTAAATTGTGAATGTTCCATCAGTTTCTGTGCCAGCTATACGATATAGTGATCAGATTTCAATAAAGCTTCAGAACATATTCATACCGTTATAAAAAAAAAAAATGAATTATTACCAAGCGTATATAATTTTAACAATTGGTCTTGATTTTAAATGTAATAATACGATATTAGTTCAATATGTTCTCTCCATGTTATATTATTATCGTCGCACCGATTTGTATGAAAATTATGGAAAATGTGGCAGAAAAAAATTAAACAATATGAATTGTTGATAATAAGCGTCTTAATTTCAATTTAAATTTGGTTTTTTCTTCAAGCGCTTCAAATATCTTCAAACTATTCTATGCGAAGTCATAGTTTCACTTTCGAAACAAAAATAAGTTTTGGAAAACAAGCTCATTTTTTAATAATTTACCTCTGATTACCGTAGCCTAACGATCCTGATCGAGTATTATGGCAGTCACAGCCTTACTACAACAATACCAAACCCACACGTTAGCGGCCACAATATAAGTAAGCCATCTTCGATCGTGATACCGTCCTCCAAAATGCCAAAAATTACTAGAGAGTTCACAGCTAGTCGCATATACGAATCCTTTCGAGAGCGTACCGTGCTGGCCATGGTTGCACCGTCCCGTAAATACCGCAGTAGACGCTTTGAGAATGTCACGCATTCCGGAGACAATAGATCTGAGGAAACATCACGTGTGCCGCGTACCGCATCCGCTGACATGCTCAGTCGGAACATCTCCATCATACTGGAGAATCTGTTGAAGCGCTATGAACAGTCGCAGCTGCCCACCCATGGACAGGGTTTACCGACAGTGGTGCGCACCAATATATTGATCCGCAGCATGGGTCCAGTCTCTGAGCTCGACATGGACTACTCGATGGACTGTTACTTTCGACAATATTGGCGCGACAAGCGGCTCAGCTTTAAAGGGCCCATCAAGAGCCTGTCCCTAAGCATCAAAATGCTAGACAAGATTTGGCGGCCAGACACATACTTTTACAACGGCAAGCACTCACATATTCACACAATTACTGTACCCAACAAACTACTGAGATTGGATCAGGATGGTGGCATTTTGTACTCTATGCGGTAAGTCTCAGAATCATATCTTTCGAGTTAAAAAAGATGTTAAGGGTTTGATATAATAATTATTTATTATTATTTAATTATTATTTAGTTTCTTGGGATGAAAAGGGTGCAGTTTTGAATGGAATCGGATGGATCGGATAGCATGGAAATGTTGAAAGAACGTTTTCAACACATATGTTTTCCTGATTTCTTTTTTAAAATGTTAGACTCATATGTTCATTGTAATTTCAAATTGTACCTACTAAAATAAAAAAATGTATTAGCTTCAATTTCGCCACTAGATTTTTACCTCGTTCAAAATTTCTACTTCACTAGAAATTCACACACATACGGCGCATACGTGTATTTCAGTGAACATTTTCTTTCACATTTAACAATTACAAAAGTTTTGCGAGCTATTCTATTGCAATTTCGTCACTAGATTTTTAAATTCGCTTAAACTTTTTCGAAGCAAACCTGACAAGCACATACATATTTTAATATTGGAAATACTTTGGAACTAGGGTTTTCAACTGATTGAATGAAAAATACAATAAAACTCATCCCTATAAAATGATATTTTTATACAGAAAATAAATCTTAAATATTTTTTACAGCCTCACCATCAAAGCGACATGCCCCATGGAGTTGAAAAACTTTCCCATGGATCGGCAATCTTGTCCCTTAATTATAGGAAGTTGTAAGTTAATGCGAAGCGAACTTTCACAAAATTGTGCATATATCGTATATCTCTTTTTTATTGTATTGGCCAACATTTAGATGGTTACACAAATCGGCAACTAGTGTACGAGTGGAAGAATCACGACGATGCTGTATCCTTTGTGCCAGGCATGACCTTAAACCAGTTCGACCTCATTAGCATGATGCATCGAAACTTTACATTCACTCGACGTGAAGGCGACTTTTCCGTGTTGCACGTGGCCTTCAATCTCAAACGACACACAGGATACTTTCTCATACAGGTAGGCTGACCCCACGATTACACACTTGAAAAAAATGCCCGATATTGGCATACAATTTAGAATATCTTAATAACAGAACCCGTTGTGCTGTAAAGTAGAAAAGTACGAATGTCTTGGAATTAGAAAAAATTTCAAATTAAAATTCCAAAAAGTAAAAAGAATTTCGGACATTCGTAGTACTTGTATATTATGTGTGTATGTATAGAATATGTACTTTTGCTATATTTTTTATAAATATAGTATACATTTATCTAGATGTATACTGCTACGCACAAAAATTATTATTCCTATATATATACTCAAAGTTTTTTGAAGCAAAAGCGAAAAGCACATATTTAAATTTGAATTTTTATCCTTCAATTATGAACATTTTCTGAGCTGCTGTTAGCAATTTCGTCACTAGCTCTAGGAAGTACCTATTCAAAAACAAACGTTTCTGTGTTATACGTATTTTAAGAAATCGCGTTTCAAAATTCCACAAAATAGAGAAAATAGAGAACCTAAATTTGGAAAAAAAAATTCATTTTTTTTTAATACAAATTTTTTTTTCCAGTGAATAATAGTCTGTTTTGTGTTTTTGATATTTTCCATCACTAGGTGTATGTGCCTTGTATTTTGATTGTCGTGCTCTCTTGGGTCTCTTTCTGGATACATCGTGAGGCGACCAGCGATCGCGTTGGCCTTTGTGTTACGGCCGTCCTAACGCTATCGACGATCAGTCTGGACTCGCGCACCGATCTGCCCAAAGTCAAGTATGCCACAGCCCTGGACTGGTTTCTGCTGATGAGCTTTCTTTACTGCATTGCCACCTTGCTGGAGTTTGCGGGCGTACATTATTTCACGAAGCTGGGCAGTGGCGAAATACCACTGGAGGATGAATGGGAGGATATAGGCGTGGCTAGCGCTGGCAACGACAATAGGGCAGAGACAAGATCCGGGCAATGCGTGCACAACGAGGATGACGAGGTCGAGGAGGATGAGGAGGACGATGAGGACGAGGACGACGATGATGATGAGGGCTGTGACGAGCCCGTCGATTCCGAGAGCGATATTTGCGTGTATGCCGAGCACAGCTGCCCCACCGGTGGCCCCACCCTTCGCAAATGTAATGCTCTCGTCTGCCCAATCTATAATGTTAATGTTGCAGCAGCTGCTCTCAACTCGATGTCCCGTTTGCACGATCCCGTTCATATGCTGCCAGGACCTTCGTCGTCGCACGCTTCGACCATTGAGCGCACCACCCAAACCGAACCACCGACCGTTTCGCGTGCCCGCCAGATGTGGCTCTGCCTCAAGGGGGATGACAAGTTTCGCAAGCAGCGTGAAAGAGACGCGGCCGCCGAGAAAAGCGGTCGCAGCTACGTCAATAGCGTCTCCCTAATCGATCGGGTGGCTCGCATCGCTTTCCCCATGTCCTTTGCTCTCTTCAATCTACTCTACTGGCTCGCCTACGGCATGTACAAGAAGGAGTTCTCTTGGTCAACAATCAAGGCCTAAGCCTAAGCAAACAATGGCGTAATCGAACAATTAGATTAGCTTTACTTGCCACGTACAAACTGTTGCATTTCTACCGAATCCGTATGTAAGTGGCACGCGAATCAATAACGATTCGCATGTGTGTTAATGCATTCAATAAACAGCTTCTAGATACGATAACAATTCGTTTTAATTCCGTTCAGACAACCCAATTAATTAATATCCCTTCCATTTATTATTTTCACTTCATTGATTCGTAAATTGGTTATTCCTTTTACGTGCTTCTCTTAGCTTTTGTCTATCGATAAGGAGGGCCGTAAATTATTGAAGATTCTACCCGAACCCTCTCCGGCAATATTCAATATATTGCAGCAATCATTTTAATTTGGTTTTCGATATGAATACGAAGAGAAAGTCATGTTCCTCTGGCAATATTTATTATTAATATTCTAAGCATTTTCTGGGGAAAAAAATGTTGCTCCTTTTCTACAAGCTGGCAGACATTCTTACAATTCAAATCTCGTTAGAAAATCATTGTTTAGTTAGATATAGAAATTAGATATAGAAAAGAAAGAGTGAGAACTAAACTCAAAAATCTCTGAACACGTTTATTTGATTTTGTATATAATTTAATATTAATTTCTTCGATTTAATGATCTGTTCAAGAGCTTTAATTTCAAAGCAAACTTCTGTTCATCAATAATTCAATCGTTAGCTGTATATAAACATTTGACAACGTTGTATTTAATTAATTGGCAAGCTAAATATCGAATAAAATAAGAGAGCATTTACAATGGAGTAACCCCGACAATGAAATACCCTGTACCCAGAAAAAGCTTTCAAGCTGTTGCTAATAACTTTTCTTAGGAATAACTGATTTGGATCCCAATTCAAATAAATGGTAAATAAATGGTGTAACTATCTTTCAAATGTTATCAAAATTGTGTGATGGAGAAAGGGGGAGAAAAATCAAATAAGGGGATACGGAGGGCATATATTTCAAGTTTGGTCGACGTAGGCCAGGATGTTTTAGAAATCATCTAGAGAGATGAAAGTCCTTCTGACTAAGTTTATATACTTGTATATACTTTATGGGGTCGAATATGCTTGCACCTGCCTGTTTGGCATTTTCTTACCCTTTCGGTACAGACTATAGAAACGAGCTAAAAACTTTTCTTCGCCTGCAGCAAAGCTATATATACATCACTGGTTCATAAAACAAAACCTTTTTCCTACGGATTCTACATTTTGTCATCTATGATTACCGCTCAGAGATTTTCGTTTTGAAAAGTTCTGTTTACTTTGGGACGCACCTTGTGTATTTAAATCAGAATTAAATTAAAGCAAACAATTCTTATATTTATTATTGATATATTAGGCATTTTCTGGGGAAAAAATGTTGCCCCTTTTCTACAAGCTGGCAGACATTCTTAAAATTCAAATCTCGTTAGAAAATCATTTTTTAGTGAAACAATGAAACAATTATTTGTATAATTTCCTTAAAAGACACAAGCTTTTAGCAAAACATTTCATGTTCAATGTTTTCAAAGCGCCTTTCTGCACATTCCTTTCCACAAATATGTATGATTTATTTAAAAAATCAAATATTTTCTGATGATTTTTTTTTGGATTTTTGATTGACTGTTTGACAATACTATTGATTGTTATTTGTGAAGGAGTTGAATGCCAAATATTTATATATTAAATATTTATAAATACAATAGGAGTTTATTGGTTTTCTCCTTCTCCCTATCCTAACTTCGTAGGACAATGTATATTTATTTGTTTGGGAAATAAATGGGCACCTGTGTTTATTGTGTGCGGCTAAATATTTGTTGCTGATTGCCAGCAAATATTTGCACCTGCACTGTGCTGTTGATTATTTTTTGAGCAATGGACGAACGGCGACTCTGCCATATGGCGCCCTAATGGGCTTCTTAGTCGGTAGATGGCGCCACACATGAGTAACCGAAATTCTTAGACAACAACACCCTCTATAAAGGAGACTCGGCAGCTCAGAATGTTGAATGTGAATGAAGCCAGATTCCAAAGACAATCGAGTCTGTTTAAGGCACGCGCAGACTCGGCTACGAACTGTCGAACAGCCGAACAAACCGAACAGGCGAACAGGCGAACAGCCGAACAAACCGAGTCGTGTTCGCCAGCGAGCTTAGTGGCAATGGCATCAGGCCAGCATCCGAGCACTAATCATTTGTTAGATAGACACGGTGGGCGATTCACATGTCGCTGGGCGTGAAACGCACGCAGTCGAAACAAAACTAAGTAAAAACATACGAGCGAGGGAAAGTGAATTCGAGTGCGTCTCTCGGTACATATCTATATACTATATATATATATATATGTGTTTGTGTGTGTGTGTGTATGCGTGTTTGTGTCAATTGGCAGTGGGCTGCTAGTATTGCTGTTGTTGTTCTGTTTTTTTTTTTTTTGTTCACCCCTACCCGCCACACGAAAACAGTGCTGCTCCATTTTGTTACATTTATACAAAACGATTTTCATGCGTTGCCGTTTTCGCTGTTGTTGTTATTGTTGAAAGTAAAGTGGAAAACGTGCAAATGTGTCTGTGGGCCTGTAAGAGTAAGTGTCACTATATATACATATATATGTATACTATGTATGAGTGTGTGTGTGTGTGTGTGTGTTGTCTGATTCCATGTGTCCATGTGTGTGACTTTTGTTATTGCCGCTGCTGCTTAAGTAGAAAAGCGAAATGTGACAAACTATGTTGCCATTCTAATCTACTTCAATCATTTATCGTTTCTTTTTTTTTTTAAGATTGCTTGTCAAAACAACAATCGATATTAATAGCTGTGAGAGATTATGTGTCTGTGTGTGTGTGTGTGTTTGTGTAAACAAATTGAAAGATTGCTGTCAAGCAGCCTCCAAATGCGAATCGCACAAAATCAATGCAATGGAAGCCACAAAATTGTCACAACATTAACATGCCTAAGTACATGCCTAAATACATATACGAGTGTACTGCTATGCTGTTGTCGTTGTTGTTGCTGCTGTGGCAAATCCAAAAATGGGTCAAACTAAAACATACCCCATAGCCTCACAGTCCAACATGATAACAATGTTCTCAAAATGGTAGGCCAAAACTTTGCTAATGCATTCGATTATGTATGCACACACAGACATACACACAGACACAACAGCAGCATTGGCAAGAGGCTAGCTAACACTCTTAAAGCACACTGACATTTACACACACACACACACACTCCTACATATATAGCTGTGTATATATATGAGAATGCGCGCGTTCCTAAATGCGTTCACAACAAATTTATTATCCTTTTTTAAGTCTCAGACGTTGCCTTTTTATAGCCCCTAAAGTATTTTAGGGTTATTCCACTATTTATACCAAATTCTTAAAACTAGAAGGAGCGATAAGCAGAGAACCATATTCCCCTATTTATACCCAATTTCAAAAACTAGAAGTAGCGATAAGCAGAGAACCATATTCCACTATTTATACCAAATTTTTAAAACTAGAAGTAGCGATAAGCAGAGAACCATATTCCACTATTTATACCAAATTCATAAAACTAGAAGGAGCGATAAACAGAGAACCATATTCCCCTATTTATACCCAATTTCAAAAACTAAAAGTACCGATAAACAGAGAACCATATTCCCCTATTTATACCCAATTTCAAAAACTAGAAGGAGCGAAAAACGGAGAATTCAATCGATTCGCTTTTTTCCATTTTCAACCACAAAAACATACACACAAATTTGTGAAATTGACGTTGAAAATCATCAATCGAAAAATTTAACAATTCTATGAGAAAGCCTGCTTATAAAGCAAATATCATAAATTAAAAGCATCACAATTCAATGGCAAACATTTTTCAATAAATTGGTCAAATGTTAACAATTCTTTAAAAAAAATAATGCCTGCATCAATTTTTCATCAGCATTACAAAACATTATTTCTTTAGGGCACACAATTTTGTAAAAGTTATGTTTAGTATTTATTCAAAATTCTCTATTTTGGAAAATTCTTAACACAAATATTTATTTTAGGGCAACAAAATTCTACATAAATTCACGAAAAAACATTACAAATGTCTCCACTCGGACGTATTTACTATTTTATTCAAAAATATTTTTATTATCTTTTAAGTCAAATAATTTGCACATCAAATTGTCGAATGCATTACAAACAGAATTCCTTTGAGACAAAAAATTTTAACAAAACTGGTATTTGCACATTTTGAATAACACAATCTACTCTAATCATTTGTAGCTTTAGAGCTAAGAAAAATATTCACATTTTCGTTTCAGATAATTCGCTTTTGATTTTAAATACACCTGCCTTCTAGTCAAAAGAATTTCATTTAAATTCAGTTGAGCCACGAAATGAAATACAAACACTGTATATTTACAAGTTGGGCTTAAACCTGAAATATTTTGTTGTGTTTATTTAAAGCAACTCCGTGTGATGTCATGTGTTTATGAGTAATCTTTAAAAAGTTTTTGAAAATGTATAAAAATGTTGATTTGTTGTGTCTAAAATTTATAGAGAGTTTTTACTCTTTGTTGCCAATTACTAATACTTTGTATTTTTCAAGTTTTATTTAACATAAATAATTGCAATGCTTGCAAACTATTAACAATTTATAAGTTCTTTCAAAATTAAGACGTACACGACCCTCTTGGAGTCATGATGACCGTAAAGAAAAGTACAACCACTGCATTAAGAAAAAAAAACTAGCGAAGGACTAAACTGAAGTTAATGCCATTTGTGGTTATTGTCTCAAAATGTTGAACAACTTGAAAACATATGGGCAATCACGTGGCGTATGTGTAATATTTGGGCAAACATTGCTCATACGCCACGTGGGAAAAATTCAATTTCAAAATTTCAATTTTAATACAAATTTATAATATATAATATTTACAATTTCTTCATTTGTTCCTTTAAGTGATATTTACATATAAATTACTTATACTAAGTAGTTTAAAAACACTCATACCTTTATACAAATATTAATCATACGTCACGTGACTGCATTTTGACAAATAAACTTCATAAATTTGATTTATTGTAGCTAACTGTATTTAAAAAAAACATTTTGTAGGCACAGTGCTTTATCAAATGAAATAATAATTAACAAGTGAACAATTAAATTAAATCAGAACAGGGGTGCCACAGAAAACTCCTGTGGTTACGGCTACAGTTGTTTTTGAAAATTCCCAAAACATATAAAAAATTATATTTTTTTGTAATATTTTTTATAACATAATTTGGAATTCTACGCGATATCCTTAAATTGGTCGCCAAATTTGTTTAATTAATACACAGTTATTTGGTACTTATTTGAAACAAGAATTGCGTCAATTATATATTTTATTTTTAACTTTCGTTTCGTTTTTCACAAAATAAGACTTAATTCAGCAAAATGTGATCTTCGAAAAATTTAATGTTCTAATTGGGTCAATGGGGCATCTCTATTGTGCGGTTGTTTTGCATGCTGTGTGTGAATGCTGGTGTTTTAAGTAAACATTTAGTAATTTGCTAATTTAATAATATTTACGTGGCATATGCATAATATTTTTGATGCAGATTGTTCAGAAAAACTATAAGGTTTATATTCCAATCATTATTTTTATTTGAAATAATTTCTCTCTCTATTAATTAGTAGCTGCCCGGAGCTATTAGTTTCGCCTCAAATCGATATCGAAAGTTGATAGGCAGCTTACTGTTAAAAAAGTTGAAAGAAAAATTTACCTTTTCCTTCATCTATAAAAATCTACTTTCAATAACGAATGATATGGCTGGATCGTTATACACATCCCAAACCAAAGTTTTGGTTCAATAGGTTCGCCTTTAACTAACCAAAGCTTCTCATGAAGCAAACTTTACGATCTCCAGTTTTCAGTTAGGTTTAAGATTGTCTAGAAAGGGTTGTCCGAAGGTAGTAAACCTGAGTCCAATCTTTCCTCCCATGTACCATCTTTGCAGACCTCACAATATTGAAGTGCTTTCGATATATACTTCACTATTATATTTTTCCATTTACCACCGAATAATAAGAGCGACACAAGTGTCTTCTTTGCAAACTTCTTTATCAATGTTCGATTCACTTAGTCTCTAAGTTAGGGTTCCAAATGTAAAGATGTGTTAGTGAGCGAGAGCGCGTTTAAGTGTACTTTTTATTAAGCATGTGAGCATGAGCGTTTGCTTTTTCGAGTGACTCAACAATAAATGCATGCGCAACGGTCTTAGTCGTCGCATGATAAAGCGTATAGAATTACGTATAGAATTAGCCACGAGCACCCAGCTTCGAGCCGTTGAACTCAAAATTATGTTGAGTTGGTAAATATATATTTGTATGCTGGAGCAAGTTTGTACGTAATTGTTTTTCATTAAATATTTATGCCTAAAACAGTCTGCTCTCGCTACAGTATAATTCTAAAAATAGTAGTCAATCACATGTCTCAAAACTTTCAAATTTTCGCTTCCATTGTGTTTTTCACGAACAAATACGAATTAATATTGTAGTAATACTTATTTAAACATAAATTGCTCAAGCTAGCTTAGTTTGATAATTCGCAGCCTAGTTAAATGTGTATTGCAGTTAAATGTGTAAAAAGCCATCCCCTATATACAGCTTTCTTTTTTTTTTTTTTTGCTGGTTATTTACAAGTATGTGTATTTACAGCGACCTTCCTGCACAGCTTCTGATTATGCCGAAAAAAATACACATACATATACTATTCATACTTGTATTCATATACTTGTATGTACATATATATACTCGTATGTCTAAAAAGAGGACCCTACCAAGCAACAACAACACATTTCAAAATGTTCCTTTCAAGGCAAAGTTGCGTACGTCAATTTGATGTTGTTGTTGTTCATTTGGTGGGGGGGCAGTAAAATGCAACGGAAGTTGTTGACGCTGTTAAAATATTTGAGCAAGTGTGCGTGCTTATACATGTATGTATGTGTAAGTATGTATATATGTAGATGTGTGTGTGTGTGTGCTGTGTAATTGTCAGTGAGCGTTTGGTGAGTGGTGCTGGGGGTGCTGGGGGGTTGGGTGGTTAGGGTTGCTTGTAGCATGTATAAAAAGTCAATGACATTAATTCGTTAGAAACGAGCGCCTACTTTTTTGCTCGCAACGACAAGCGCAACGAACTTAACTCAAAAAATTGTGCGCCAATTGGGCGTCCTAGTTGCGACACTATTCACACACACTAATGTGCATGTGTATGCGTGTGTGAGTGTGTCTGTGTGTGTATGTGTGTGTATGTGTGTGGCTGCGAATGTCACACTTTCAATGTAATAAAACGTTACATCCGAAGGTTTCAAACGAACGCTTGGCAACCATGATTACTACATACATATGCATGTGCACACAAACATTCACACACATGTACATGCATATAAGTATGTGTGTTGTTGTTTTTAAAAATACTTACTGCATACATTAGGGCGCAGTGGTAAAATGTTATGGCACTTTTGCATCGCACCGCTACAGCGTGACTAACAAACTAACAATCAACCGAACGCACAAAATAACAATGCGGTGCTAAAAATGCGTCAATCTAACAAAGCTAAAAGTTATGACAAAGCAGCCATTGAATAAAACACCGCCAACAACAAGGACGACGAGCACGACGAGGACGAGGACGAGAAGGACGACTACGACGACGCCGACGACGCCGACGCCGAGTAGATATTTAACAACAGCCCGCTGCCAATATGCCTTCTTTCGGGCGCCTAAGTCTGTGGTATAGTTTTTTGCTATATGTGCTTGGCGCACAACTACCACTGGCCCGGTAAGTCTTAACTTCCCATCCATAACATACTATGTATATACATGCGTACATATTTGTACATAAATGCATGTAAGACTGTTGTTGATGTTGATGTTGTTGTTGTTGTTATTGTTGCAGCTGCAAGCGAAAAGAGATGCTCGCCGGCCGTTTAGAGAATGTAACACAAACTATCTCAAAAATACTACAGGGCTACGACATTCGTCTGAGGCCCAACTTTGGTGGCGAGCCACTCCATGTGGGCATGGATTTGACCATTGCCAGCTTTGATGCCATTTCAGAGGTTAATATGGTAAGTGAATTCAAACTTATAATTATCTATAGTAATTAACCTTCCTCCTTCACTCATACAATACATAATCTTTTTCGTGCTAGACATCGCACATTCAATCCTAAATATGGGAATTGTTGTTTGAGCAAATTTTATTACAAATATAAGCTCCTGATTTCTCAACACTATTAAAAAAAATAAAATAAATATGCATAGATAGGACGTTTCATCTCGTTTTATTAACTAAGCACCGATAGATGTCTCGCACCAATGTGAAGCTGAATAAATTAATATTTTGATTGAATAATGCACGATGCATTTAAAAAATTATTTATTTAAACAATTTTTTAAATTTCTGCTTTCTAGCTCTTACCATCTAGGCTGTACACGTTAATTACCTACAAGTATTGCCTTTTAACGTCCCAATTTTCCCACAAAAAAGACCAAGCAAATCAGGCTTCAATAGAAATCTTAAAAAAGCTTTGAGTGCTTTTTTATTTTGTAATCTTTTTGAGTAGTCAAATGAGGGTTAAAGTCAATTGGATGACGAAAGTTTGTTCCTTTTCCCTTTGGAAGTGGAATGTTTCAAATTTCTTAATAGTAACAAACAAAAATGGCACTTTACCAAATGTAATATGTCGACCGATTGTTCATATGGCAGCTATATAAAATATTAAAGTTTTTTTGCGATTTCTATTTATATATATTGATTTCTATATTGATAAGACCAGCAGAAAGTACAAGTTTGGCTTAAAAATTCTCAACGTTCATACAGACGGACAGTTATACGGAAAGATTTCGCTTTATCTTGTCTTCCTTTTGCCTGCATTTGCGGATCTACCCCATCAGAGCATTATGCCACCTAATTGAGAGAAATGATTTTTTTTTTTCGCAGGACTACACAATAACAATGTATTTGAACCAGTATTGGCGTGACGAGCGTCTGGCTTTCAACGTTTACGGCCCATACTATGATGCCGATGCGGAAGATGATGGTGTAAGCGATGTGCTCACACTATCGGGAGATTTTGCTGAAAAAATCTGGGTGCCCGATACGTTCTTTGCAAACGACAAGAACAGGTGAGAGTCGAAGTATTCAAGATTTTAGAAAGTGTTGTATGTACATATATTGTGCCTACTTATTCAGCTTCCTGCACGATGTTACCGAGCGAAATAAGCTGGTTAGACTTGGAGGCGATGGCGCTGTCACATATGGGATGCGCTTCACCACCACACTTGCTTGCATGATGGATTTGCATTATTACCCACTGGACTCGCAGAATTGCACAGTGGAAATTGAAAGCTGTAAGTCAGAGAGAGAGACTTTGAAAAACCAAAAACAGATTACTATATATGTTATGTTGTTCCCGGATAAAAAGATGGCTACACAGTTAGTGACGTGGTCATGTACTGGAAACCGACGCCAGTGCGCGGCGTGGAAGATGCCGAATTACCGCAGTTCACGATCATTGGCTATGAGACGAACGATCGCAAGGAGCGTCTGGCCACCGGCGTCTATCAGCGTCTCTCGCTATCATTTAAGCTGCAACGGAACATCGGCTATTTCGTCTTCCAAACGTATCTGCCCAGCATTCTTATTGTAATGCTGTCGTGGGTCTCGTTCTGGATTAATCATGAGGCGACTAGCGCGCGTGTCGCCCTCGGCATCACCACTGTGCTGACAATGACCACGATCAGCACGGGTGTACGCAGTTCCTTACCCCGCATCTCCTACGTAAAGGCAATCGACATCTACCTGGTCATGTGTTTTGTGTTCGTCTTTGCCGCCCTCCTCGAATATGCGGCCGTCAACTATACGTATTGGGGAAAGCGGGCCAAGAAGAAGATTAAAAAACTAAAGGATTGTGATCGACGCAAATTAGGTCAGTGTGTGGGGGTAGCCTTTTAAAAGTAGTAGCTCAGACAGACAAATATTTGAGCACAAACTCAAAAGCAATTCAATTTCTATAAGCAAGTCTCAAAGAGAATTACTTTTCAAAACGCAATTTCAATTTGTATGCAAATTGTTTCCTGGTCTGACCACATCTTTGATCTTAAAAAACCTTTATATGCACACAAACTAACACACATAAAGACGACTAATAGATTGCTGAATTTCAACCCATGCTTTAAATTCTACAATTCATATCAGTATTTTGGTAATAATTTCACTCTCAATAGGGGGCATAAAATGAAGAAACCTCAATTCAACTGACTATCTCCAAATGGTAGTCTTTAGTGTCACATTTAACACAACACACATTTTTACAACTCGTAATTGTGGTAAAAAGGTGTATACCATTAGTTCGTGAAACATTTTATTTATCAACCATTCCTAATTTTTAATGAAGGTATTCGTCTTTTGTTTTCAATTGTTTAATAAACATTTTGGGACAACTTTGAACCTTCAAATAGGGTAACAACATTGGTAGGGGAAACAGCAAACACACACGATATTGTTGAAATTTCAACGTGTGCTCTTAATTGTATAGATCAAAAAAGAAATATGTGCAAAATTCGACCCCGAATTGAGGTAAAAAATGAGAATATTCCCACCGATTGTAACAAATTAGTGCCACATTAAGAATATAAATTGCATTTAAATCAACTCCCAATAGGGGGAGCTGTATAGCTCAAAAAAGAAATTGGAGCACAATTCGACCCCAAATTGAGGTAAAAAAGGAAAACATTCCCACCGATTGTAACAAATTAGTGCCACATTAAGAATATAAATTGCATTTAAATCAACTCCCAATTGGGGAAAAAATAGGGGACTACCTTTGTATGAGTAAAATTTTTCATGGCAGGAACCCACAATCGTCAATAGTGACTATTTTTTATTATTTTAAATCGTACGATTTTTCCATGAACATTTTGCAGAACATTTAGCTGATTAAGATAAAAAAAGAGACATTTTATTTTAGTTAAACCCACTATTCTTAATTGTAAATGTTTCATTTCCGTGTTTAGTGTGTTTCATTTTTTTTTTACTTTTCTCACAACTGACTAGGCCTCATTGCGAATACATAGTCTTACATTCAAAATCAGTAGAATTAGTAATTTTATTTTCCACTCGCACAGGCAAAAGTGAAAAATCCGAAACGTGTTCAACCACAGAAGACATCATAGAGCTGCAGGATGTACGCATGAGTCCTATACCTTCATTGCGCAAAGGTAATTACAATGCGACTCTGGGCTCCATCGGCACAGAGACGATGGACTTGGCCAAGTTCCCCCCCTCGTTCCGCATCACACGAAACTACGGCACTGGTCGCAGCCAGCTTCGCCATCGTGGACAGCGGGGTAAGCTCAATACAATTTTAAGGAGTTTCAAAATTATTATTAATATTATTTTTCTGGATATTTTGAAGGTATTGCGGGCCGTCCGCGCGTCTTGCATGCCCTGAAGAAGGGTGCCTCGGCCCTAAAGGCGACCATACCAAAGATCAAAGATGTAAACATCATCGACAAATACTCACGCATGATATTCCCCATCAGCTTCTTCGCCTTCAATCTCGGCTACTGGCTCTTCTATATTTTGGAATGATAGCGGCTGCCCATACTACACGCCCCCACGTAGTGTGTAGTCTAATTCAGAAACCCACACCTAAGCTCCACCCAAGCATGGGGATTTCCATAAACAAATGAACAATTGTTGGCCCAATTATAGGAGTATACAACCAAAATCAAATCCAAAACCAGAAACAACCTGCAAAATACGTTGCAAAATAAGATATTTGCAAATGCAAATATTTGAAATGTACCAGAGACGATCAAACTGACCGCATCTGCCCCACCCTAACTAGCGGAATCAAAACATAACGAAAGGACAAACTAAAATAAATTGTATGATCATTGAAAAATCAAAAAAAAAGGCATGTCTGTTTTTTCTTTCAATTGTACATGAATTTTCCCTTCTCAGCTAATTTCTATTTAAATTGTATCCTATTTTATCTTAATCTTTTGTGAGTCCTTGAGTAGGAAAGAGAATGGAACGCCCAATGGCCCCTTTACCTAAGCACTGCGTACTATGAAGCATCTGGTGTGTGGTTTACGGCACACCCTTCACAACTTATCACCAAAATGTTCATGTTGCCACAAAGCAATTTCCCCATTTTCAACGCTTAGCCGTGACACAGTGAGTTGAAACTTTAACGCTCACCTGCATAAGTTTCGCCACAAAATGTGCTCAAATGTTAGTAAAAGTTGCAGAAACTATGCATATATCCAACAACCACGCGAAAAAGTAAAAAAACGAGTGTGTGAAATGTGTGTAACAGGCAGATAGCTACGTGGCAGACAATATAATGTGTTCGCCTGTCTGTTTGCTCGTCCGTCTGTATGAGCAGCGAGAACTTTTGAATCATAAATGCTAGAAACACCAAACTTTGCATGTAGGCTTTTCTTATTAATATGCATATTAAGTTTATAGGAAATCGTACATAGGCTATTTTAACAGGAAGTTATAGCCATATATGTATGTACGACCAAGCAGTGCCCGCAATTCCAATTCCAATTTAGTAAATTATAATTTTTCTATCACACTATAGATTTGATTTCCATAGCGTAATTCGAGAAATTTGTGTGCAAAATATTTGTCTGTCTGACACTAGCATTTTAACTTTATTAAATATTATGCTATAAAAGAAAGTATTGCCAGCATTTTGTAGCTCAAAACAATTAAGAAATTCTAAATACGATGCGTAATTAATAGATACATAAATTCTCAAACCTTGACAACTTCGCTTACCGCGATCGGTTCTCGATAGATCAGATTTACCAAATCTAATGATTTTCCAATTTCGACTGATTCATAAATACTTGAAGTATGGAAATAATATAAAGAACTTTTCCACAGATCGAGCTTCTTCGGAATTGCGGTTTGTATTCATAAACGCCCTTTTCCACTTTATTCCAATTCAATGGTCGCATAAGTAAAATAAAACTCCATATGCATTGCTTTTTAGAAAGCATATCAATTATTTTACCTAAGAAGCGTATCGTTAAAGTGTCTCTTCTATATTCAGCATTGAATATATTAATATTAATTGCACACAAATGGATAGAAATAAGTACAACTCCTTCCCCGCCAGCTTAAGGTGCCGCTAAATGTGGCCTCAACCGGTGGATAGGCCAACAACAAAGTCTCAAATGATTAAGTAAGACAGTATTATATTCCAGTAATCTATTTTCTATCTGGCTTGAATTTCCACTGACTATAATGGAGGCAACCGAACCCAGTCCATTAACAAGCAAGCGGACATTGGGATAGTCCACCTTTTAAGGCCCCCTCGTTAATCGCGGAAAAGGGTATTTCTCTATTTCTGCCATAATGAAGCTGAGATTACGGTTGTCCGCGGTACCACCTAAGTGATCTGTTGGCGCATTATACGCCAAGTGGAAGGCAAAAAGCATCTGTAGATAAATTAGCTTTAAAAAAATTGCATTTGCTGCCTGCGATTATAAATATAAGTACTATGTACCTTTCAAGACTCTATAATACAACGTGAATAGATTGTTTATTGACTTACCCTAGCCATGAGTTCTCCAAACAATATATATTAAAAAAGTTTAAAACAAACAAACAAATTTTTAAAAATATATATACTCGTCCTTTCTCGGACCTAGGAGAATCTGGATGCCAACTTTGGTTATTCTAGCTTTTATAGTTTCTGAGATCCTTGCATTCATCCAGACGGACAGACGGACGGACGCACGGACATGTCCAGATCGATTTCTCCCGTCATGCTGATTCAGAATATATATACTTTATGGGGTCGGAGACGCTTCGCAAACAATTTGCAATATTTCTTCAATTTTTAACTCAAGATTAAATATGTATGTACATATATAGTATATAATATACATATAATGCAGGAGTATATGCTTCCATATGCCAGCGAGAAAGCACACTGATTTGAGTAGATCAGCATAACAATAATTCGGGCACAATTGTAAACTGTGGAAAGCCTTTGGGCTGCTTGGAGCTCCACTCTGCCTCACAGCTTTCAAAATCGTATTAAATCAATGCCAAAGCAATTATAGCAAACAATTAGGAAGAAAGAAAAGGCAGAAGAACTCATTAAGTTCATCAATAAACTACGTCACAATAATAAACTTTACAAAAACAACTAACGATACATGACGCTAATTTGGCTACGTTCTCTCGTTGGAATGCAAGAGAGCAGCAAGAGAGAAGCGCGCATGTAACGGCGCTCGCGCAAACGCCGATAGATAACGGTGACGCGTAACCGCACTTGCGTATGTTTTTATTTTTGCACTGATTGGCACTAAAAAATAGTTACAAACATAATGGAATTAAATAAAAAAATAAAATACTTACCATGTTCACATCTTTCAGAAGCACTGCAAGATTTATTTTTAAACTTCAATAAAAACATAGCACGAGTGCCTTTGTCGCTCTTACTTCATTTCTCACTTGCATTGTAAATCACTCAAAAAAAAAAACTGTAAAATGCACAAACAAAAAAATTTAAAAAAAATGATCACGATCATGGCTTTCACTAAGAAAGTGGCTAAGAAAACTATGAATGTAGCTAATTGGTAAAAAAAAAAAGAAGCGATGTCATGCAACAATTAGGCATTTTTTCTTTTTTATCAAAATAACACACGAGTTTAAAAGGCTGTTTTTCCCGACGACGCGACGTTAGCACAGCATAGAGCTCGCGTGCAGACTAACAAAAAAGGCGATATGCAAACACTCTTCCACTCTCACTCCTCTCTTCGTTAGTGAGCACGGCTTTATTGAGTACTATGGTGAGTGCATAAGTAAGCTTTTGATCAATGCAGAAGCAAATCAAAAAAAGAATTGAAAAGAATGACGGTTCGTACGACAAAAAAATTGAAGCAAATGAATGAAATGCTTATCAGTTGTCAAAAGTATTTACATGCATTTTATTTGCTTTAAAAATATAAACAAAACAAGAGAGATCGCTACAGTCGAACAAGCCCGACAGTGTAATACCCTGTACCCAGGTAAACTTCCGTCACTGAGTTATATGCGCCCAAAGCAGCAGCAAAAAGAGGAAGAAGAAGAGCGAACTTGTTGCTGCAGTTTGTGGGGGTTGTACTGGTGAGAACTTTTTCGCTAATAACTTTTCTTAGAATTGACCGAATTGAATAAAAACAACTTTAAACAACAGTAGATAATTACATATATATGATGTGTGCAAAGTTTGGTTTAGGTAGCGTTTGAAATGTGCGCTATTGCCGAAATTCTGTAGCGGGGGAAGGGGGGGGGGGGGGGGGGGGGGGGGGGGGAAATTAAAAAAAAAAATAAACTCGTCCTTTCTCGGACCTAGGAGAATCTGGATGCCAACTTTGGTTATTCTAGCTTTTATAGTTTCTGAGATCCTTGCGTTCATCCAGACGGACAGACGGACGGACGGACGGGCGGACATGTCTAGATCGATTTCTCTCGTCATGCTGATTCAGAATATATATACTGTATGTGGTCGGAGATGCTTCCTTCTGCATGTTACATACTTTGCACAAACCTAATATACCCTTTTTACCCTACGGGTACAGGGTATAAAAATGTATCTAAATGTTCTTCATTAACATACATATATACATACACATATGTAAATAAATGTTTGTAGTTTAAATTTGCGGACAATAATGATTATTTTCTTTGTTTTTTTTTCAAGCGAAAAAATCATTCACGTAGCTTTAAGAAGCCGGGAATTTACCAAAATCCTATTAAAAGTTTATCTATGCATTTTCACATTGTTGTAAAAATTTAATTTCTTAAAAATAATTTTTATAGTCCAAAACTTTATTATAGGACTTTGGCCTTGGCTTATTTTTTAGGATATATATAAATTTTTTCCTTATTCCCTATGAAAAACAATACTTACAACTTGAGATTTATTTTTGATCAAAAACATAAAACATAAAGAATAATCATGATTTTATGAGTTTAATTTTGTTTCCTCAAAAATAATGAGTATTAGTAAAATTTTTAAAATAAAACTTAAAATCAATCACTATTTTATGAGCGAATGAATAAAATTAATAAATAATCATATTTTGTTATCTTTATAATAACACTAATAATGATTATATTATATTATATTAAATACGTTTGACAATTTCTCTGTTCTCTTATTTAATAGCGAATATAAATTAGGCGTTTCAACTAAAACGTTTCTGTTTTTTGTGTTTTGTGAAAGTTTTTGTAATGTTCGCCAGTTGAATGCCGTACACGGCCACCTCTATTTTTCGTAGAAAGTCAATTTTTCCCACAAATACATCAATAGCCATGTGATGTGGAGGCGTCCATCGCCAAATTTCCCAGTCGATTCAAATCGTCTTAGTGTGATTGAAATCCATTAAACTGCGTTTACATTACATGCCATTTTTTTTAGTGTTTTACTGAGCTGTCAATGGACCGATTTGGCGATGGCGATAGCTGCTTTGTTTTTAAAGCTATATATATCAACCGAACTGGAAGTGTTATGTGAAAAACAAGATTGAATGTTACAATTAAATCTATTTTACTTTTATTTATTTATTTTTGAAATCTCTATCCTAGCGTTACAAGTATTAGGATCGATATCAATACATTAAAAATACATATTTATACATAATTTAATGTTATACTTATTTGTTCTATTTCAATTTTAATATAACATTTTATCATTTACCTTATTAATTTTTATATAAATTTTAATTTTTGTTGGCTTCTTCTTATTATTGTTATTACTAGTGCATACTCGTAGTGTGTGTTGCCTACGGAATGTAAATGTATTAATATTTTACTTTTTAGGTTATTCGCACTTATT